TAGATTGCCCAGTCTTCCTTCCATGGAATGGCTGGTGAGTTTGAACCACCAACCTTCTGGTTAGTCACATGCCTTAGGCATTACGCCGCCAGAGCTCCTTACGCCCTGAGATATAAGGGAAGGCTTTTGTTTATAATTAAAAGGTCTCTTACATTCACTAGGTGATGAGGATGGTCAAAATCTCTGTGTGTCCTGCTTAGGGAGTTAGTGTGCCCAGAATAAAGGCCTCCATTTAAGCTCCCATTCACCAGACCATTGACTCCATTCGAGACATTATGGTGAAGATGTGAGCAACCATTGCTAAGACTTCCATTTCTCATGAAGCTCCCATGAACATTTCCATTAATCCGGTTTGTGCCAGGCAGAGTGGTGTATTCCATCATATGTCCATTAATATCTGATCCTTGGTAGAGATAGCCTGGGGGATCATATTCTGTTAACAGAGAACACAAAGCCAAAAAGAAAAAAGAAAAGAAAGATACTAAAAATGACAATATTCTTGATTTGGACATTTTATTAATGAAACTTCTAAGAAACTACAAATATACTAAAATAAAACATTCTAAAAGTGTTCACTTAAGGGAGTTCCCGTAAGAAGGCAGAATAGGCAGAAAGACTGCACAGACTCTCTTCAACAAAGAAAAGGGGAACCAATTCACACACACACAGAAAATAATCCTGGACCCCTGAGCCTTGAAGGGAAGGATACAGAAGTGGACTAAACCCCAACTAACAGAAGAATTTGCATGAAAATGCCAAAAAAGGAGACACACGGAGCTGAGGTGTGGCAGCGATCCTGAGCAATCCTGACAGCACAGACAGCTTGGAAATTGCCGAGTAGTGGTAGGACCTAAGAATTAACCTAAAAATCAACCCTGCTAACCAGGGACTGCACAGAGGACTCTTCTGGTGGCTGGTGAATAAAAGGCGAAGCAGCAGCGAAAAGGAAGGTGGGCTGAGCTGTGGACTTTTGCCTGTCTGGATGGTGCAACCATTTTGAATGTTTACAAGTGGCTTGACCATTTTGGATATTTAAAGGGAGTGCTCTCCGAGATTCCAGGGGCTTAAGAACAGGTTCTGCTTGTCAATAACCCCAAGGATACTCCAGACCTAGATGACTGAAAAGGTGTGACATTCTCTTTGTTACTCTTATACCTCATACCCGCTTGGTGAACAGAGGTGCAGCCATCCCCCACTCCCACCCCCTTCTGGTATTGGGCCACCTTCTGGGCCTGCAGCAACTCCATCCCAGTCTGTGTGCTCAGACAGAGTCTAGGTGACCTGCCCTGCCCTCCCCCGATTTTTTTCTTTTTCTGGTTTTTAGTTTGCTTGTTTTTGTCTGTTTTAAAACTACTACTATTATTAATATTTTTGTCCTTTTTTACTATTATTCGTTATTCTTCCCCTCCCAGATCCTAGTTTTCAGCTTTCTTTCCTTTCCCTGTTCCTGGTTTCAAAATTTTTATTTTTCTTGTGGTTAACCTTGTTCCTTGTTTTTCTTTTTGCATTTTTCCCATTTTTTCTTCATTATTCTCCTTTTCTACCTTTTTTCTCTTATTGCCCTATCCCCGGATATTGCAGGTTTTCTTGTTTTTTTTTTCTTCTTCTTTTTCCCTTTTTTCTTTTGGTTACTATTCCTGTGTGATTACATGGTGTATTTTTTGTTCATGTGCTTTTTAGTTTTTTGATGGTTATTCAATTGTAATTTGTGTCTAACTGAGTGGGAGACAACAATAGTCCCCATAAGATACAACTGCACCCACACCTCCTACAAATTCACTTACTGAGCGAGAGCCACCACCTCCTTCTCCACCAACAGGCCAATGATACAAAACCACCAAGAAGAGCCTGAATCACCCTTGGCTGCTTTTCATAAACAGTTAACAGAGATATATAAATACAATAATGCCACAATGTCTCAGAGACAACAAACCATCACAGTCCACACAAAGAAGCAAGATAAAGTGGTAGAAACAAGGGAGCAGGATACAGACCCAGAACACATCCCTGAGGAAGAAGCAGCA